TTATCACAATGGATCAGATACCTGCTTATCTAATTGGTATTATGTGGTCAGTATATGTAGTCTCAGAAGAAAGTTTGGGAAAGTCTCAGAGGTGGAGAGTGTTGGGTATTTTTCTTTGTGCAGATCTCATCCTGTCTCTCTTGATAGTTAAGAGAGTTACCAAAGAGCTGAAGGGTGAATGTTCATCTCAGCTGGTCTATAACTGATTGTCATATATAGACAGAAAAGATACATTGCCAAACGCTTATCACTGTGTGCTTGCCATTGCTATACCTTAGTTGGTGTGAGATTAAAATTCTGGTGTAAATAGCTCAACTATTCTAGTTCAGCTCTTAAATCGTGATCTTAAGTCAATAAATTAATTATCTATCCGAGCCTTTAAACTCCTTGTAGCTTACAGTACATTCCAATCAACGGGCTGGTGAGTTTGAGGACCCTGGGGTATACTGTTATTGCCACTGGAAAGCACAGAAGAAATGAGAAGTAAGGATCGTAACTGCACTTCAAGATGTATTGCTCTTGGGGCTTATGACAAATCAAGGTGACCTTATCAAACACTTCTGAATTTGAGCAGCTGGGATATCTGGATTTCTCTACGAGCCCAGCTGCAGTATTTTTTGAACTACACACTACACTGAACTACACTGAAAGAGAAGAGCTAATCTTGCCCTTACGAAAAAGTAAGGTGGTCCAGTCTCAGGCTGGAGAAACAGAATTGTATGAGGATGTGACTTATCATTTTATTATTGATGATACTGTCCTTATTAAAATAGCAAAGATTTGATGAAACGCTCCCTTGTATGGGAGTATTTTTGGTAGTAAGTCTCTTTCACCCCTCAGGAGCACAGGCTGGTGCCTCTGAAACCTTTACCTTATGTTGTGTAGAACTGAGGCAGTTTATGAAGTTACACGGTAGCACTTTCACCAATATTAGAAATCCCAGTTTGGCAAAGACCAGCTGACTTTAATATATGGAATACAACTGCCATTTTAATCAGAATCCTGAATTTGGCCTTATCGTGAAAACGTTCCTCTTGCAAGTGTGTTTTCATTTATATCTGATTTATCATGCCTTTGAACACTTTTTCACAATTCTTTACTCTATCTATCCCCAGGCAAATTTAATAATGTTCCAAGGTTTCTCAGCCTGAAATATACATCTCATTCATTGATGCTTCTAGCCATCATTTTATTGTAGATATTGGACAAAGAATCATTGTTCTGCACAGAATGCTTCATTACTGAAAAGACTGAGATAACGGAGGAATACAAAGTTTTGGAGACTGCAGTTCCAGCGGAAGTTCATGACGGCCTTCAGTCAGAAAAGGATTCATACCTATGCGATGTATCTCATTTTTAGCTTTAGCAAGGAAGCAAAGACCCCTTATTTAGCTATTTCAATGCAGTTGACTTCAGCCAGCATTAACAGGCCTTCACTTGCCCAGAAGAATACTTTTTTCTTTTTTTGTAGACCAAAGGTATAGGTTGTTGAGTGATGTGTAACCTAAATTCAGAATCAATTAAATAACTGATTAAATGGCAAGAGAAGGATTAAGCAGTATAGTGCAAATATTCTACACAATCAGTGGTTTTACTTTCGCAACATCTCTAACGCTCTAATGTAAACTGGCATGTCCTTACAAAACTTGTTTTTTTTGATTTTAAATTAAGATTAAATGGGATTCAGATCATCACCTGATGAAATCACGATCTTTTCTACTCTTACTCCATGATTTGTAGATTTTCATCTCATCACAATTGTCCTTAATTTTCTTACGTCAAAGACAGATTTTTCTCAGGCCCTACTTCAGTCTGATTTGAGTTATCTCAAAAACTTTTGAAAGTAGGCTGGTAGATTTTAGTTTCAGATAGATAGGGACTTACGTATATCCAATTATATATGAGCTGGTCAACCAGAGAGAGAGTCATCCAAAGGTGTCTTTGAGAAAGGTCTTTTTAAGGCTTTCCAAAAATATGATTTCTTAGTGTGCCAGGATTTACTTGACTCCTTTTGTCTCTTTCAGTTTTGTTTCAAGATAACCTTTACTAACATCAGTACGTAAAAAGTTTTCATCTCATCTCAACATTAGAGTTTTAATCAGCACCCTTGATGACTTGTTCTGTGTCATCTGCCTCATTTACTGTTCTCTCTTGTGCTCTCTTCCAAACTCCCCTCACTCCAAATGTTGATCTTCTTGCTAAGGTTGATAGGACTCTTCTTTAGAATTCATTCCTCAAATCAGCTTTTTCTCTGTACACTGATACTTTAACTTGCCATTTTCCCTTAATTTCTGTCATCTGATTATGATTAATGTCAGTCTCCTCCATTCAAAAACATTTCTTGTTGAAAGGGTTTTGTATGTGCTTTCTTTATAATTCAGAAATAATAGATCTCAGTCCTGGTCATTTAGATATTTTTATGTGACGTATCTGAATTATCTTTCTAATAATCATGTTAGTTAATGCTTGTTGAAAGCATCTAGCATGGTCTAAATGTTCAAAGCGGTCTAATAGTAACACTGTATGTTTGGGAAAATCTGCTGTAACACTTTTCTGAAGTATATTAGAATATGACCAGATTCAACTGTTGTTTTAAGATTATTACAATTATTATTATTATTAGATATGGGGCTACTTATATAGTATTATTATAAGACTTGCAATCAGTGATTGTAGTAGTCATGTACATTATATAGTCATTATATATCAAATGGCTCAACAAAATATATTTACTAATACTTTCACACTTTTGTCATATTATGTTCATCTGAAATAATTTCTAAATATTACTTTATGTAGCATTTTGTGCATATTTTTGAAACTTACAGAAAATTAGGCACAAACTTGTAACTACTACTTGGTTCAAATCACAGAATCACAGAATCGTTTAGGTTGGAAGGGACCTCTGGAGATCATCTAGTCCAACCTCCCTGCTCAAGCAGGGTCACCTAGAGCACATTGCCCAGGATCACATCCAGACGGGTTTTGAATATCTCCAGCGAAGGAGACTCCACTACCTCTCTGGGCAACCTGTTCCAATGCTCTGTCACCCTCACAGTGAAGAAGTTTTTTCTCAGGTTCAGATGGAACTTCCTGTGGTTCAGTTTCTGCCCGTTGCCTCTTGTCCTGTCGCTGGGCACCACGGAGAAGAGGCTGGCCTCATCCCCTTGACACTCCCCCTTCAGATACTTGTACACATTGATGAGATCGCCTCTCAGTCTTCTCTTCTCCAGGCTGAACAGGCCCAGCTCTTGCAGTCTTTCTTCATAGGAGAGGTGCTCCAGCCCTCTATCTTCAACTGAAATCTTAAAAATATTTCAGTTATTTTGCTAGATTCTTTCCCACACAACCATAATGTCCCTGTCTTCTTCCCAGGTTAAAAGTATTAAAATTTGCTTGAATAGCTGAAGAAATCTCCATCTAGTTCTGCAAATTTAAATACTGTGTGTACCTGAGTTTCATTCAGTGTATGATAATATAGTCACATAAAGTTCACATTTTTAATGGTAAGAGGTGTATGTCATGAGAAAATAATCTTACAAAGTGATATGAACTGTCCTGGTTTCTGATTTGTTTTGCTTAATTTCTTTCTTAAAGACACATAGCTGAACAGCAGATAAGAGACTTTCTTTCTGAACATCTATTATGTTTAAATTAAAGTCTGGCTACTATCTGGAGTACAAACAAATCCTCATTAACTTCATTCTGCACACGTTCAAAGGTCTGTTTTATGCTACAAGTTGCAAGACCAGAGCTTAAAGATAACTTAGACTTTAGTCCAGGACATTTTACCTAAGCCCTTGAGCTCTTCGGTAATGTCCTAGTCCACCTACACGAGTTGTGGAAGGATGCTAAATTGAAAATATGCCCTTAGATGGGAACAGGTATCTTCTCAGCATTTTTCTATAGGAACAGCTGTCAAAATTTATTTCTGACAATGTTGGGTCTTTGTTAAATTCTCAATTAATTGGAAAGCTGTCATTGTTTAATTAGTCCTGGCGGTCCAAAACTATTACAGACACTCTAGTAGTTGTACACTAGAATGTATGCATCTGTTTTTAGTCTCCCTGCACTGCAAACTTACATGAACACAGCATATTAATTGCAATTCTCAGCTTTTCTTTTCACAGTGTTATGTTAATTTGTGCCCAAAACGTTGAATCATAAAATGGTGGCAGTTCAGTGCTGTATAGATATGCTTTATGCAGCCAAACTGTCATTCTTCTACAGAAGTTTTAAAGAATACTAAAATTCTTTGGTGAATAATTTTGAATTTTTTGAAATTGGCGTGGCGTCAGGTCTTAAAATAGCTGAGAGATTTAATGGTAAACAAATTGCAGTTAGATTACAGAATGAAAAATAGCTTTCTAGAGAAAGTCCATGTGTAAAGTAATGGCATCTTGTATCAATAATGTGCTTGTACTATCTGAGTAACTCAGATTTAAAGATTTTGTCTGTGTAAGGCAGATACAATACAAATTAGAAGTAGATGTAAATTAACTTTCTTGCAGACTTCTACTATATCATTTTACTCGTGCCCTATAATTTGAATAATGCAGTCAAGCTAAATTCCCATATCTATGTTGGGAAAAAATGGTTGAATACGTGATGCTTGGCATTTATAAAAAATGTTCCAGGTACAAGGCACCCTCCACTCACCATGGAACCAAAGTTTCAAGCTATAAATACCATCTAAATTGACCTGGGATTTGTATGTTTGGCAGGTTGTGTTAGAAGCAAGTTTCGGCTCAGAGTCTGAATATTAAGGCAAGACAAACATGTCTAAGCCAAATTCCACATAAAGAAATTTCTATATGGTATACTAGACTAGTACTGGTAGTTTTATTTTAATGTAATTACTGGATTCCTCACTGCGTATTTCTTTCCAATGCCTCTAAAGTAAGTCTTGATGAGTAATTTAGATGTAGGCTTCTCCAGTGTTGACATCTAGTTCTGGTAGATGGGTTCTGCCACAAATGTCTCTCAACTTCTTTTTGTAGTCTCTGAAAAGCAGATGAAATTAGTGTGCAGAGAGTCTTCAGAAGAGCATCTCCAGCCCTTCAAGAAGAAATTAGAAGACTTCTTCCGGAAAGGTAACCATATGTTTTTGAAATTATTGATACTGTGTTTGTTTTAATAAGATGTGCCATATATGATGTAAGCTGCTTTAGATACCTGTTGCTTCTGAAAAGTTCTATTACCTGTTATGGATTATGTCCCTGATAGCCCTAATATGCATTAAGAACAGTTACATAGATTTTTAGACATCACTTATTATAGGTAGTTGTTTCCTTGAGCTCACTCATTTCCTGTTGATTATATTCTGCTTTGTTTGTTATTATTATTTGTAGGTGAAATAAAGAAGATTTTCACTATAGAGCAAACTTATCAGATGGAATATAAATATTCAAGTTTATAAAAGACTAGAATGAAAAATAGCCTTCTAGAGAAAGTCCATACATGAAGTAATGGTGTATTGTATCACTAATGTGCTCATATTAACTGAGTAACTCAGATTTAAAGATTTTGTCTGTGCAAGGGAGAAAAAGGTTAAAGGAAATGATTTACAAGGATAGAGTGAAGAGATAGAGGGGTCGGATCTGAGGGTCCAATTTGATGATCAGCTCAAGTCAATCAAGATGCAAGTTGCTGCTGCTGAAATGTCTAGTCCTGATACCCCGTTTTCCCAGACTGTGTTCCCAATCCTCACCTGCTTGGGCCAGCAATAGTGTCTCGGGCTGTGCACGACAGACACAGGAATTGATCCTTTTTTTTGGCAGGTTGGAGGAGTACTGGCTATTTGGTTAGCAGAGCTTGTGCTGTATTGATAATGACTATATTAAGAAGTAAATATTACCAAACAGCAAGTGTTTGTCACAGAATCTTAAATGGTTTAGCAGTTTGATGTTTCAGCAGTCAAATGAATTATCTGAATCTATGAATCAAAGGAGAATGTTTACTTACTCTTAGTGATCATTCAGATTGTTGTAATGGTTTATGATTTAGCTTAATCCTTTTTGTAAAGATCCCTGTAATGTCTTTTAAATAACTTTATTTCATGAGGCTATAATATTTAAATAATCTGCTAAATTAAAACAGGATGTTTTAAAAATAGCAGTCCTTGTTAAACTGTAAATAAGCTCGTATTCTTTCTTACCCTTCTCCAGGCCATGGACATTAATGGATGTATTTGTTTGATATATTTTTTCTTTTAGTGGAAAATTTATTTGAACAGCATTAAAACTGCAATTTTCTTACCACAAAACTTGTAAAACCAAAAAATTACAGTGGGAATCTTTGTGTCACAGCAAGACAGTTGGATTGGTCTTTCCAACTTACTTAACTGGAAACTTTTACTTACAGTTTAACAATAATGCCAAGATTGAGATACTACGATACATATTTCTGCAGTACTTTTAGGATCTCCAGCACGCTGCTTGATCTTGTTTGCCACAGTATCATACCAGATCAATGTAATTACATTCTGTATAGATTATTTCATTCATAATACTATCGGAATTACCCTGTTAGAGCAGCTCAGAACTGAATAGTTTGTATTCTTGTCTCAGTAACGGCCAGAAATGCATTAAAGATATGCTGCTGAAATGATAGATACAGATCTGGACCACAATTAAATTTTGATTAGGTCTCGCCAAAACCCTAAGCGTATGTTGTCTTCCATGTTCGTATCACAGATTCTGTAATTCTTATTACGCCCTGGATCTCCTTAGAAGTAGAAAATGCTTATCAATCACCATAGTTCCAAGCAGTAAAGGAAGCCCAGCCCGGTACCTGGTTTCTCTTACTAAGCTGAGGTGCCCTACTTGCTGATGAGTGGAACCTGATAAAATTACCCAGTTGATCTTGGTAAAGGTTGAGTTCTGCATTAGAGGAAAGACCTTGATTGCAGTTAGTTGTGCCACATCATTTCATGTAGAAAACCATATTTCTTGCAACAGCTGACCTGTTTATACCTATACATGTGGAAACTGAGATACTAAATTTATCCTTATCCATCACACATCCCTATCCATCCATAACAGAAAATGTTATCCTTATATCTGTGAATTACATGTATATTTTTTAAAAGTAAGATACATTCCTGGACGGTGTCCTGGGACACTGAGTTCTTTGCATAATTACTAAATTTATTAGACACTTAGTAATGTTTCAGGTCTTTTGTATTCCGGAAAGAGTAAAAAAATATATATGACTTGTCCATTTTTTCATATTTTTCATGTGTTCTCCTTTACTTTATATGTTTTAGCCTAGCCGGTCATACTTTATTTTTGCCTAATTTAACTTCTTATCTTATGACATTTCTGTTTCATCTACTTTACTGACAACTCATCTCAGAAAAGGTACCCATAGTATTTAAAGCAATGAGGCATTGCGTTTCCATCGCAGTCATCCTGCTTTTTAAACTAATTTGTTTTACCTATTGCAGTTCTCTGAAAGACACATTTTCATTGATCTGCCTAAATTGGCATCTAGAATTTCTCTAGATTCCTTACAACTAATTGAGAACTTATCAGAGTGAATGAGGATGTCAAATCGTTCCATGATATCTGACATGTTTGGATTTTCTGACGGTTTTCATGTGAAAAAATGTACGCCATGGAAAGGAGTTTACTGGAATTTGAGGAAGTTTTTTGTTGTCAAAGGAATGTAACACTGCACTTCTAATGTAAAGTGATAAAGTTCTTGATGGTACCTAGTCCCTACAAAAACTGATTCCACAGGCTGAGCTAGTACCTGAGGAAACACAGGCCTATATAAGTGGTTTCATGAAATATTCAAGGTAGGAGATTGAGAGTGGGACTAACTAACTAGCCCAGTAGCCTGGAAGTGAAAATATTGATCTGGGATTCCTGGATTTGAACACCCTATTTTCTTCAAAATATATAGTCTATAAAAACTTTGTGAAGAACCCAAACAGTTGCATACAGTTCTCAGGTGTGTGGTATTCTTTATCTTTTATCTCTCCTCCCATTTGAGAGAGGATAGAAAGAGACAGAATTTAAGCTGCTCTTTTTTTTTTATTATTATATGCATGTTTGATATTATATATCTATGCTAGGGCTTGTTCTTCAGAATGTATAAGGAATGATTCAACTATAATTATTTTGAATTTCCATATTAATTTTTCTGTATAGCGTTACGATTCCAAACTGCATATCAATATCCTATTAGTCCACTGAGGGGGGCAAGAAATGGCAGCACCAGGAACCACTGTTCATCATAACACTTTTCCAAGTTGCAGGGGTTTATTTTGAATATATTTTTTTTCTGTACATATCTAATTTAAAAGAAAATCCTTATTCAGGTTAGTTAAAATACATTTTTTAAAAGTATTTCAGTATGACTCTATACACCACTCTATCCAGCTCTTAGTTCTTGTGATTCACTGAGTTGGTGTAGTACTTTTCCTAGGAAAGAAACTATTCAAGGTAACACAAGAAAACTGATAAACCTAGGCAGATGGCAACAAAAAACAAAAGATCAATCGCAAAAGTTTCGGAGTGCAACAGTGAGAATGGAGAGTTTCATTATGCTACCTTTTCAAATTTTCCGTTGATATCTTTCTTGTCTCTGCTCTCAGTTTATTCTCATTTTCATTGGATTATGCAAGAATAGTGCCCTGCAGACCCTATAAATATTGAACCTGTTTCTTCTCCAGTCACTTACATAGTTCACTGGAGTTTTTATAACTGGTGGATAATACCACCAGTTAGAACCTGGCATTAGAACGGAAGTCCTATAAAATTCTGCGCTGAGGTGCAAAATAACGTAGAAAACCTTCTTGATTTGTGGTATTAGAGTAAGTACAGGACAAATTTGAAACAGTTCAGAGGTTCGGTTTAGATAAGTGTCTGGAAACTCAGCTGCTTTTCTGAAATCAGGAGTTAACTGATAATGCTGAGCATCCATTAAGCATCTGCTTTCAGTTTTGTTTGTTTAAAAGAGAGTTGTGGCTGGTTTAAGCAAACGTATGAAAAAATTGTGTGTTATCTTTCTGCCAGCTCACAGCAAGTATCCACAGCTCAGATGCTTTTCTGAAACTTCTGGCTTGAAAATAGGACTGGGACTCACAGATATTCAGGTTTTTCTCACACATATGATTTCCCATCATTTCTAGTCAATGCTAAGTGGAAAGTCCTGTAAGAAAAGAAACATTGATTGCTTTAACCGAACTGTTTACGTTACCCTAATTACAATTAATACCAATTAAATCTAATACTTGCTGTGTCGTAACAAAAAACAGCAAGAGTGTTATGGAGACTAACATTCTAAAATGCTAGAGGGGATAAACTGTACTTCTGCTGATGTCAGTACTGTTTTGTATAACTAGATGTAATGTAGCCTAGTGCCTCGAAAAGGGAATTAGGTGCCAGAACCTTTAGCTTCTATTCCCAATTTAGCTACTCGACATCTGATGCTAGAATAGTTGGTTAATCTCTTTAGGCCTCAGTTTTCCAGTACATAGAATGTTAAATAATGGTTCTTGCTATTTTTTGTAGTGGAAGATAATCCTTGTAAAGTGTTTTGTGGTTCCTTAATGAAAGACTTCATGTGGAAACTGTGTTAATGCTTCGTTTCTCTATTTCATATGCACATGTTTTTCCAAATGGGTTTAGCTTATTCCGAAAGTAGAAATAATCATTAATAAATTGTATTTTATTACGTGCAACAAATGATACTAATTTTACTATAGTATGGAGATCTAAGAGGTGCTATACACTTAATGTATTTCCAGTGGAATTACTGGGTTTTTTTTTCAAAAATATTTTCACTATGTTTTCCTTTTAAATTGTCTTGATATGCAAAATGAACTTTGAAATAATGAAATTAATGATTGGTTTGAAATGCTCCTTAATGTATAAAATTATTCCTCAGAATTGCTTGGAAAAAAACTAATCTTTGGATACAACGCCATCACAAAAAACTAGAATAGTTAGACTAATATTCTAATTATGTCTAACGATATGTTTTGTACCTAATATTTAGGTACAAAACAACTGTACTTTGAAAAGGAGAAAAGAGTGTTTTGTTACTGCGGCTACGAAGCTCACTAGAAGGGATGCTGGCTAGT